TCTTATGTCGATTGTGATAACATAGCCAACACAACAAAATAACATAGTCAGTCATTATACACTGTAACAGGGAAAGCTGAGAAAGACACGCACACACCATTATTAAATTATATGTATTTAAACATAATATCCCTTGGTCTTTGGGTAGTGAGATCGGACGCACAGAAAAAAATGCCTTGACAGTTGGATATCGAAAAGAGCAGTCTAATGGCACTGCCCGTGCAACATTTGGAGTGAAAAATTTGACCCAAAATATTTAAGGATCCTCGCCGGTGCTACGGAGCCCGTGCAATGCGCTGAGCTACTTCGAGCTCAGACGTGAGTTAGAAGTAGAATGGAGCACTTATGGGTTACTACCCTTGTGCCAGGATGTTGATTCGATGTTCAAACCTCAAATCTTATGTATTTAATAATTCAGTTAGGAAGCCTAGCTTTTAGTAACTGAAATGAGCTCGAATTAGCGTGAGATAGACCACAAGCGGATGCAGTCTCCAAGTAAACACAGTAAATGAAAACGGCATTTGCTGCAGTATGGGTGGTTATAATTGTGGCGTATAATGAAAAGTCCATATTGTTTCTGTCTTTACAAAGAGTTGGCATCAGTGGCTCAGGCGTTTCAATCGCGCTTTGTAATGCGGGGCTGCTTGGCTCGATCCCAGCTGCGGACCTTGTACCTTGCGTTCGTTTCCACAATGGTATCGAGAAGCCGACACGCGAAAAAGCATTGACAAACTACTGAACGTACATTTGTTCTAGAAAAACCACAACAACCAAACAATGATGTGTTTGGTTCTGCAAAGGATACGCAACTATAACTTAACAAAGAAAAAAAAAAGTACATATATGTTGAGGTATATATGTGACCAAAACTGAACTATGATGATTATATTATGTCGATGCCAATGTACATAATTTTTAACATACTACATTGAATGTTTCTTGACAGAATTATTCATGGTTTAAGACGTGTCTCAAACTGTCCGGAAGAATGGTGATGTTGAAGTCTAACAATTGTCTATAGACACACATCAACTTTTGACAATACAAATTGCACATTGGAGAAGAAAATTGGGGAGAATAATTGTAGCAGCCTTAAACTAGAAGACACATGTTATCAAACATAATTTTAAAGGGAAGGAAATGTCATGAACCCAGAAGTGCAAAATTTAAAACGAATAATTATCGAATCAAAAACTACTTTTCATTTTATATTAAATATCATTGGTTATACTATTCAGCCGTCCTGGCGTAGTAGATAGACGCTCGCCTGTGGATCGGAAGGTCGAGGGATCTGGTCCTAAATGTAGCCGAGCTTTTTTTTTCAATCATGATCTTGACAGTCAGGTCGACCAAGCCTTAAGTGGGTACCACGTACAGGCCTTGGAAGTGAAGGCAACTGGCATGATGCTGACCAGATAACTCAACGAGTCCTGCAAGTGCGTGGAAATAGGTTCTTTACTTTACTTAAATTACCAGTACGAAAGAGCGACCAAACAGTCGACATCACAGCATTTATAGATATAATAAAACATAGAAACACACGTCTCCTATTTTGGAGACGTTGTAACAAATGATGGCAGACGTGAAACAGAAATCAAAAAGAGAATAGGACTGTCTAACATATGCCTCAGTAAGATGCCCAAAATTATAGACATCTAGAGAGATAAACTGTCGGCTCTGTGGCTAAGTCGATGCGAACGCTTCGTAATGCCGGGTTCGATTCCAGCTGCGGGCCATGCGCCTTGTGTTGGTTTCAAGGAAGCCGACCGTGGAGAAAGTAATGGCAAACTACTGGACGTAAATTTGCTTTTAAAAATTACACAACAGTCAGAGGCTCTTGGGGTTGGTTCTGCAACGTCATGTGTAGGCAGGTGGGTCTTGGAGCCTGAGGAAATACCGCCGCTTGGCTAGTTCGGTCGCCACGACTGTGCAGATGGAAATTATTATTTTGAAATCGACAGAAAACAATCTACAGCCTTACCGAGGATTCGAACCCTGGTCTCCCGCTTGAGAGCCCAGCTTTCTAACCACTCGGCCAGCCGCTCCTCAGAGAGATAAACTTCACACTTCAAATAAGACTCATCAGATGATAGGTATACGCCAAACTGAGGTATGGTGTAGAAACATAAACAGTGAACAGGCAAATAGAAAATCGAATCTTGTCTCGGGAAATGCAAAAACACTGACAAATCTGTAGTATTTCATGGAAACAAACAACAGTCAAACACAGAGGTTCTGAAACACTACGAATGAAAAGAGAATTGTTGAAATTTAGAAGAAAAAAAAAAAAAAAAATTTTTAGGCTACAATACAAAACACAGTTCACTACTGTTGTATGGAGCGAAAACGTCAGGAACAACTTAGACAATTATTTTAAAAAACATTTCTCAACTACTGCGGAACAAAGGATATTAAATACTATGATAAAATCACTAATGGGAGTAGGAAAGGGGGGGGGGGTGAAACTAAACAGATTCCAGTGTACCAGTAAGCGAAGAAAAGACGTACGTTGGATATGAAACACGATGAGAAACCATGGAAACAATAAAACTAGACAGATTGCAATAGAACCAACAGGGACATAGAAATAAAGGGAGACCCCCTTTTATCCCCTTTTATCCACGTCACCGCTCCACCACCCCCAAACCCTTTCCTCCCCTAAAAAAAAAAGTTTAAAAAAAAAAAGCAACAACAACAACACAAGGAGAATTAGCTAGAGAATGAAGTTAATGCATTTATATAAAGATCAATTCGATAACTAAGAATGGAAAGACTTGGTGTGAGTTGGCTCTGGGCTTATACTCCATTGCGGATAGAAGGCAGAAGAAGACAAGATTGAATGCGGTTATAAAAACCCTAGTGAGCGGAAGGGGAGGGGGCTAGAGAGCAAGAGGTAGACAACAGTCAAGTAAGTGGGCACCTTCAAGATACTGACGTACAGCATTTCGAGACAGTATAAGTAAATTAAAGTAAGTAAAAATCCCCTTTTCACGCCTTTAGGCGCATTAGGCACATGGGAAGAGTACTCACATTTTTTTACAGACCAATCGGCACTAGCTGGGTAATATGGTCAGCATCACGCCGGCCTTCTTTACTTCCCCAGGACATACATCCTGGTATCTATTTTACGCTGGGTCGACCTGCGACAACCCATACTATGATAACAATCTATGCAGCCAGCAGTGGGTTTTGATCGCGCTACGTAAGAATCAATAAGAGTTGGACTCGCAAGGCCTAGGCCACGGAAGCTGCTCGAGACAGTGTACAGATAAACAAAATAAAAAAAAAGACAAACAGTGTTGGAGATTGTTTTCTTTGCAGCCAGCGTTTATGCGGAGACGGTACATCATTAATTTACTGATTGAGGATAGTGGCTATTGAGCCTGAGAATGTCAGGTCTTTGCGTCTGATGCTTTCGCGTTCCCCTGAGTCCGCCTCAATACCTGTATCATTCATGTCCCGCTTGCACACATCTTTATAACGCAGTAGAGGTCGGCCCCGACATCTCCTTCCTGTCTTTAATTCACCATGAAGGATTTCCTTAGGGACTCTGCCATCCTCTTTTCTCCAGGTGTGACCCAGCCACCTGGAGATGAGTTGATTCAAGAACCGACATCACAGCACTCGGGGCATTCCCATAAGCTCTCTGTTCCCATCTTCAGCAGTCAGTGAAAAGTTCCGATACTAATGGTGTCAGTAGCATTCAAACTTAACATTCGTCTTGCCCTTCCTATGAGCCTCGAGCATCTGCCAGAACCTCTTGTCACTCTCCACTGCATCAATCTCACCAGACTAAAATGATCTATCTGCTCCTCCGAACTGTACACGCTCTCCCAGAAGGCATTATCATTAGGAGAGCACAGACCATATGCACTGCTTGGGATATGACCGTTTGAAGAAAAGCGTGCGCGCGCTTGCACACACATATACACACACACACACATACATACACACACACACTGAGACACCTTTATTTTTGTTCCGGGACACTCAGGCGTCGATGGAAATGAAAGAGCTGACAGGTTGGCTGGATCCGCTATCACTTCGGACGGTCGGCCTATGGATCATGCTGATATTATCAATGCCCTCAGAGAAATGGGAAGGATAGAGGACTTTGGTGGCAGTGAATCCACATCACTCGCCAGAATGGCGGACTTGGGAATTAAGATCGGCACAGCAAAAAACGAGACGCACACCGGACACGTCAGAAGACTTGTTAATCAACATAGAACTGGTACTATTACCATCGGACGTTTGGGGTTCATACTGAGGGGAGGATCTGAGCACCCTATGGACATGTCCGGAGTGCAATGACGATAACCCACTACTAACTAACTAACTAACTAAAACTAACTAACTAACTAACTAACTAACTAACTAACTAACTAACTAACTAACTAACTAACTAACTAACTACTAACTAACTAACTAACTAACTAACTGAACTAACTAACTAACTAACTAACTACTAACTCACCTAAACTAACTAACTAACTAACTAACTAACTAACTAACTAACTAACTAACACACTGAGACATGCACGCAATTACGGACACAAACACCCACGCACACAGCTATCACGGAAGACACCATTGTAATTGATTGAATGTTTAATTTGTAATAGAACGCAACATCTGTTTATCAGGTTATCATGTTTTCACTATCTGGCCTGTTGCAACCACACTGAAGACAAAACTGTATGGTACACGAGAAGATATGGACTGCACGATAGCTTTCATAAAGGCTACCGGCCTCCTGATATAAGTTTTCTTAAAGAAGGATCGAAGAAGAAGAAGAATATGTTTTCACTAAGGCTGTTATTTTTGGAAATGATTAAATTAATAAATAAATAAATCAAAAATTGACATCCAGGCACTTGGGGCATTTCCACACATGCTTTTCCCAGCCTCTATTTTGCTTGGGGTCTGATATTACTTGCAGACAAACAAGGTCGAAGGAAATTCAAGATCAACAATATTTACATCAAATCCAGCAGCAATCAGCAAGTCAACTGCTCTTTGTTTCCGAAACACATACCCATAGCATAGCTGTCTTTGTTGGTATAGCTTTCCGGAACACACATGAATGAACTAATTGCATACAGACAAGCAACAAGTTGGTTCCCCTTGTCCGCCATTGGGCTACCTGAAGTGGCAATTTCAAACATTGTGAATGTGTCATCTGGAGCTTTCAGCAGCTTTTTAATGTTCTTCAGAGCTTCTGGTGGATTGGGCACATCGTGAATGGTATTGGCACAGTAAACCCAGTCATACTTCTTCTTAGGGAGATTTCTAGGGCAGCAAACATCAATCAAAGCATATTTTATGTTGGGGATATGGCCAAGATTAGTTTTCAGCTGATCCAAAAGAAAGTCGGCGTAGTCCGATGCTGTAAAGGTACTCTTTGGAAACATCAGAGCAAACTTGGCTAGCAAACGCCCTCTTCCGCATCCAACTTCAAGGACTTCAATGCCCCTTTCTGTGATTAATTTCAAAAAGAACAAAACTAAATAACATTAATTATTGAAAAGGTAGTAAGCTAACTGCCTTAGATTGTTTACAGAAAACACAGTGTGCTGAGGAATATGATATAATGATAACAATGAGATAAGCGCATTCTTCAGGAACCTCATGCAATAAACAGAACTAGAGTGGGAAAAAAAACAAGAGAAATGTTTGAGGGAAAGAGATACATACATAAAGAGATTGATAGCGAAAAAAAAACAGACAGACAGACAGACAGACAGACAGACAGACAGACAGACAGACAGACAGACAGACAGACAGACAGACAGACAGACAGACAGACAGACAGACAGACAGACAGACAGACAGACAGACAGACAGACAGACAGACAGACAGACAGATAGATAGATAGATAGATAGATAGATAGATAGATAGATAGATAGATAGATAGATAGATAGATAGATAGATAGATAGATAGATAGATAGATAGATAGATAGATAGATAGATAGATAGATAGATAGATATGATAGATAGATAGATAGATAGATTTAGATAGATAGATAGATAGATAGATAGATAGATAGATAGATAGATAGATAGATAGATAGATAGATAGATAGATAGATAGATAGATAGATAGATAGATAGATAGATCGATAGATAGATAAGATAGATAGATAGATAGATAGATAGATAGATAGATAGATAGATAGATAGATAGATAGATAGATAGATCTGGTAGATAGATATATAGATAGATAGATAGATAGACAGATAGACAGATAGACAGATAGACAGATAGACAGATCGACAGACAGACAGACAGACAGACAGACAGATAGACAGATAGATAGATAGATAGATATATAGAAGATAGATAGATAGATAGATAGGATAGATAGATAGATAGATAGATAGATAGCTATAGATAGATAGATAGATAGATAGATAGATAGATAGATAGATAGATAGATAGATAGATAGATAGATAGATAGATAGATAGATAGATAGATAGATAGATAGATAGATAGATAGATAGATAGATAGATAGATAGATAGATAGATAGATAGATAGAAATATATATACACACACAAATATAAATATATTTTGGGGTGTGACGGGAAATTGTCCACCCGTATCTCATTTGCCTTTTTTTACGCCTCTGCCTACATGATTATAAAGATCGTAAGTTTATATATAATTATATATATATATATATATATATATATATATATATATATATATATATATATATATATATTATATATATATATATATATACATATAAATGTGTATATGTGTGTGTGTGTGTGTGTGTTCGTGTTTGCGCGTGTGTAAGTTGTCATCAATATATGATAGTACATACCATGCAGAATATCTCAAGCAATGCACGGTATCCGCTGTTTTTATACTCAAACAGCATTTTGTAAACACAATGTGCATTATCTTAACCTCCATATGACCTCTACGGTAAATATCTCTTGGTGAAGCTGTTATCGGGAACCCTAAATATAACTTATGTGGAGGATGAACGAGGTATATGATATCTGCTTTGTTAGTCTGCGGTAAAGATCATCCCCCCAACTTTCAGGATGCTTTGGTGGACGTTTAGGTACTCTCTCTGGAGGGACAAACTGATCGATCGGACAAACTGATCGATCAATCTAGACATATATACACACATAGAGCTTCTTACCCAGCTTTTCTTTCAGTCCAGGCACATGTTTAAGAACCGCCTCCACGTATTGGTTTAACAAATTAGTGGTGAATTCCTCAATATAATCGTGGGTTCGATTTGTGAACTTGCCTCCTGAAAGTAGGCATATACAAGTAAGTGAAGCGCTATTTTAACTCCAGTTTGGCATTGGGCATAGCAAATAATTAACTAACCGCAGTTTCATAAATTCCTAGCAAACTGGTCGTCTTATCTTTGCCCCATTTCAGTGTCAACGAAAAGTACTACATACAGCCTAACACTGTCCCTTGTAAAAAAAAAAAATAGTACATGTTACAGACATAGCAAATCCAATAGCATAGACACGCATTAAACTCATACGGCACCCGTCAGAAGTGCCAACGTACAATGCCCAACACTAGAAAAAAAGTTTAACATTGATGGAAGTAGTAGTTACATCAGATGAGTGTTTACCCACACAATTATGTCAAATAAATGACTACCATGTCTTCTGTGGAACCAATCCACTGATCTAGTCCTTTATCTACAGCTCGAAACACAAAACATTTTGGGTACTGTCGGTAATCCGGTAGCCCACAATGTCACAACATGCACTCATCTCAGTAGCTGAAAACAATGTTGAATGTTGAGTGTTGAATTAGGAATCGACATCTCAGCACTCTGAAATCCCCTATAAACACTCTATCCCCATCTTCAGCAGTTCCAGTTCTGATGGTACCAGTAACTGTCTGATTGCATATCCGTCTCGCCTTTCCCCTCAGTGTTGAAGGACAATGCACCCGCCAACTATTGTCAGAAAATATACCACTACTGAAAACATTAAACCAGCCTATCCTCTGTAGACAAGAAATCCTCACATTTGTCAATACACCTGGCATATGATGAATAATTTATGTAGGCAAGTTCTTTACAGAAAGCACCTTATGTCATGACACATATGGAAGTATCTTTTTTTCTAGCCAATTTTCTAGCTTGATGTGCTTTAAAACCCAATGCATCATTCATGCCATGTATCCACCTTTGTGGATGTCTGCCTCTGCCTCGTTTATCCGATGCTAGACTTAATTGTGTTTAGGCTAATTCGACTGGTGATGTGACGAAAATCATAGCGATCCCTTTTCATTCTTCTTCTTCTTCTTCTTCTTCTTCTTCTTCTTCTTCTTCTTCTTCTTCTTCTTCTTCTTCTTCTTCTTCTTCTTCTTCTTCTTCTTCTTCTTCTTCTTCTTCCTCTTCTTCTTCTTCTTCTTCTTCTTCTTCTTCTCTTTCACATGTACCTCAGCGAAGTGTCGAGGGGGAGATGTAACGTTCGTTGAGGATCTCTGTCAAGAGCACTATCAAGAGTGATGTTCATTTCTGTAAGACTGCTCTTAATGCCATCACTCGATCTCTTCCGAGGTCTTCCACTCACTCTATACCCGTTGTAACGTTTTAGCGTGGCTTGCTGTGGCAGATTGTACCAGGGCATTCTTGTTAGGTGTCAAAACAGCTACTTTTTTTGTTCTTTGGTGACTTGTAAGACTAGCTTCATTCCTAGCTTTCATCTGATTTCGTATTGTGTCTTTCTATGAAACTCGTGCAGCTATTTCTAAGGCATCACTTTACATGCTAAGCCCAATCTACTGGTTATATATATATATATATATACATCATAGACAATGTATTGATCGGCACTCAAAGAAAGAAGGACACACCAGACAAAATACAGTTATAAAGCTATAGTTACCGAGACGGGAATCGAACCTGTCACTTGCAAATGGCATGTGCACTTTGCTATGAAAACAAGTGTACTAAGAACATCGCTAACTAGGCACCCCGAAAAAGGTGTCTTTATTGGCCATGTCTGTCGTACAACTTGAAATTGTTAACTATGCAACGCAGACATAATTTATCTCAGACAACTGAAATGGCACCATAGGCTACAGAAATTTATATTAATCAAGCAATATTAACACACTGCTTGGAGGTGACAGGTTCGATTCCCATCACGGTAACTATATTGTTTGATTTTTATGTTGTCGAATGTGTCCTTCCATCCTTCTACTTCTTTCTATGAGTCTCCATCAATACATTATCTATCTTTATATATATATATATATATATATATATATATATATATATATATATATATATATATATATATATATATATAATTTACTTCTATGGCCTCAAAGGTTCACCCTCTGTTTATTTGTGTGTATTACGTGTAATCCAATAGAACCGATCAATCTCTCTTTAAATGTTCGTTGTATTCTAAACAAAGCAAAATTGTTGCTGTATTTCTTATTCCACCAACGTTTGATTAATATAAGTTTGATGATGATGATTGGGATCGTTTAGTTGTTCTGGTGTCTGTGATTATTAATATGATGGTTTCGTTGCGGTGGTCGTTGGTTGGGGTGATGATAATGATGATAGTGATGGATTGGTGGTGATGATGATGAAGAAGAGTATAATCGTTTGATGGCAGTGGTGGTGATGTTGTTGTTGATGATGATTGCTTATTGACATTAAAACGAACACACTAATTGTCCTTCGTATGTGACTACAAAGTATTAAAATTTATAGTCTGTGTTTAATCTTGTGATCGATCCATACTATCCAAAGCTCACCGGTCGGTCCTTTGCTGGGCAGGCAAGACTTAACTGTGTCAAACTGTGGACTCATAACTGATGGTCCGGAAATCAAAGCCATCATTAGCGTTTTCAGTAAAGCTTTTTCATCCTCGTCAAGATGATACACTAGAGCTCCCGATTCATTCTTGGACACATGGACCACTTCTGCTGTAGCCAGACTGCCCAACAGCTCTCTCACGTATCTGAAAGAGAATACCAGATGTATTCTACGCACACTAAGCACGAGCTCAAAGCTTAAGTCATTCAATTGAACCCGCTTAATGAGCATTAGCATTAGCTGCTGCCGCTTCTCTGGGTGATGAGCTACAGTATAATAAAGATGATGTTGTGAAGGCTCTATGGGATCAAATGGGCGCCTTTACTTCACGGGACTGCAACCGGTACTCTCTCAAGGCTGGGTTGACCTGGGAGCCAAGGTCATTTTTGAAAAAAAAAGTCCGGTTCCGCCAGGGAGCTAACCTACGACATTCCGATCCGCGGCGAGTGTCTAGCCGCTCCGCCACGGCGACTACCGGTTCTGTAAGATATTCAACACTGAAGAGGAAATAGAGGCAGGCCTGTGATCAGATGTTTCAGCTGGAACTGTTGGCATGTCAGCTTCTTGTTTGTTACTGAAATAGAGGACAGAGCATGTGTAAAACTTGAAGCCATTCCTTCATTTAAATCAGGAGCCTGCATTAGCGCAGTCAATAGGAGACTCGCTTTCAATTCCTGCTGCGAATCGTTGCAGCCCACGGCCGGTGTATGAAATCGGTCGGTTCCCGGGGTTCACCAAGCCTCTAGGAAATGGGTACCAGAGTTAAAACTCTTGGGTAAATTAAGGAACGTCGCTGTAGCTACTGAGTTTCGTGCGGACGTCGACACAGGCTGAGAGTTTCTTATCTGCTGTCTGTACTGGTTGCAGAGCATTTATAGTTTATAACCGTGTGCAATGACACTAGCTCACATCTCCCAACTTTAGCTTTAGTTTTACTTTTCATTTAAAGCATAAAAAAAGCCAACTACAAAGCACATACCTTGTCCATAAGCTTGGAAGCTTTTTATAACTTTAGGTTTCAGCCCAAGTCTTTCATAGTGGCTCTTGACATTAGCTGAGTAAAATATGGTCTGTGCATTAATTCGCTAAAGACCGTATAATGAATGTAATCGTATGTTGTATCGAAAGAAGTAAAACATAAGAGCGAAGTAGCAGTTGATAATGACGACTTTAATATACTATACTAAACTATACTATATACTGTTTTACTTATATCGTCATTACTACTTATAATGTTGTTACCACAACGTCAGTCATACCTTTCCTTCAAGTCCTTCTTGTCAGCGATCTCTTGCGATGTCAGGGGCATCTCAGCATCCATGAGAACCTCCAGTATACCCACATCTTTGCATAAAGACAATGCGAAACCAACATATGTAGAGGTGACCACTGAGCCAAGTTTATCTGCGAAGGACGTCATCACTGCTGCTTGAAGTATATGTTCACGTAATATCTGGGGAAAAGAAAATATGTTTGTACAAAAGTATATTTTAATAGATGCGGGTCCGTGGCTTAGGCGTTGTCAGTCCGACTCGTAATTCCAAGGTACCGCGATCGAAACCCACTGCTGGCTGCTTGGGGTTTTATGATTGTGTCAGACATCGCATGTCCACCCAGTCTAAAATGGGTTCCATGAGGTATGTCATGGGCAAGAAAAGACGGCCGTCGTAATGCTGACCATATTACCCACCTAGTGCCGATCGGTCTGTAAAAATAAGGATGCTATACACAAATGCACGATGAGCCAAAACGGCGTGAAGAGAGGTCTTTACTTTTTTACTTTAAAATGTTTTTGGTGGGGTAAAAATGTAACCCGTATGCAACACAAAATAGATATACAATTGTGGCTTAAACAGTTACGCACTCTAGTTGAAACGTTTATATCCTACATCGATGTAACAGCTGAGTGTTTAGTTTTCCTACTTAATTAAAAAAAGAATATTTTCACATATCTGCATATTCATGGAATAAGAAATGCATGAATATTAAATAAAGTATATTTATTATAATAACTATTGTGTCTAAACGTTTTCGCGAACCCTCTGGGTGCTTTTAGGGTTTTCGGTTCATCGGTTAGGTGAGACATAACATCAACGAACGAAACGAATTTAATATAGGTAAGGTTATGAATTAAGAACAGACCTCACAGAACACGAGATGCTATCATAAACTCTCCGCCCACATCTGTATCAGCAAGCGCAGTGTTCCCATTCCAGTGATATCAGTAAGTCTTATTGCATGTCCGCTGCGCCCTTCCTTTGAATGTTGAACGTTTCCCAGACCCGATTGTCACTTCTCGCGGTACCTGTCACTTCTCCCTGTACCTGTCACTTCTCGCTGTACCTGTCACTCCATGCTGTACCATTCTATTAAAACCTGGATGATTTATTACTTCATCCACACTGTTTACTTGTCCTACTAAAAAAGGTATAGGTGTAAGAGAAATGCAGACAGTGACATTTGTGTAAAGTCCATAAAAACAATCGATGTTGTCCATGAATTCTTTCAGCAGGTTAAAAAATAGCGTTTAAAAATCAAATTATAACAGCAGCGAGGAAACTATGTGGAAAGGGGGGGGGGGGGGAGGGGTTCAATGAGCGTCTCTTTCTTATACACGTATTTCCTGGGTGCTAGCGCCCCCCCCCCCTTTTTTTTACACCTCAGTCATGTAGACCATTCTCGTTTGAAGTACGAGTGTGTGTTTATACTGTTTATGTTTTCTCAGCTGGATACATATATGTTTTTGCCGTTAGCGTATATATTAATACTAATATTTCAAATAATATGTGTCGTTATTATTACTATTATTATTATCATCAGTAATGATATGAATTAATGATATGAGGGTTTCAGAATGACGTATGCTTTTGATTTCTGTTTTTTTTTTTTCGTCAACAGTGGACTGCAATTCTGACTCAGGCCTGTTAGTGTTGGCGCGTCTGACAACAGCCTTTTGAGTTTTTATTTTGCGTGTGCAAACTGTCATATTTTGCTAGATCTTACATAATTTTTAAGTTTTCAAATTTTTCTCACAAGACTATTTGAATTGATTTCCACTGGTACTGAATCGGATCGGAGCTGTTATGAGACTTATGACTAACGACTAAGTCCAATGGTAGCTACCGTGGTGTAGCGGTTAGACGCTCGCCTGCAGATCAGAAGGTATGGTTTCGGATCTTGATGAAGGCGCATTTTTTTTTTTTTTTTGACCTTAGTTCCCAAGTCGTCTCAATTTTGAATGGGTACCAGATTTATTCCTGCAAAGTAAAGCTGGTCGGTGGGATGTGGTAACTACATCACCCACCGAGTAATATAGGTCTTGCCCTATATGCCCAATACGACTGATAGCGTGGAAAAGGGTCTTTATTTGTTACGAGCCATGAGAACGTGCGCATCAAAAATTAGAAATGCAGCTGAACCCTCCCCTGCCAATTCCCTTTTCTGTGTTTTTTGTTTCCCGACGTCTATTTTTCGAGGATGTGTTTGTGATTGCGTCCCTGACAGAATGACCAGGAAGCGGTACATGAAAAGGACACATAATTATTCATCCAGTTCATATTCTTCGTCGTCATCATTGTCATGTTGTTTCATTATATGTCATAAAGGGTTTGCAGTTCACTCGTATTTTTCGTTCCACCCTATACAATTCCTGCATAATCAAGGATGTAGTACAGCATATTTAGCTTCCCTTACCGCCCAATATCTCACACATTACCCCATGGGGCTTCAAGGCTCTACCATAGAACAAAATGTATGGACCCACTGTCCCATAGCATGTCGACATGGCGACAGATTAGCATGTTGATGACATTGAAGTAGTCTTCTTCTTCTTCTTCTTCTTCTTCTTCTTCTTCTTCTTCTTCTTCTTCTTCTTCTTCTTCTTCTTCTTCTTCTTCTTCTTCTTCTTCTTCTTCTTCTTCATCATCATCTTCTTCTTCTTCTTCTTCTTCTTCTTCTTCTTCTTCTCTTCTTCTTCTTTCTTCTTCTTCTTCTTCTTCTTCTTCTTCTTCTTCTTCTTCTTCTTCTTCTTCTTCTTCTTCTTCTTCTTCTTCTTCTTCTTCTTCTTCTTCCTCTTTTTCTTCTTCTTCTTCACGTTCACCGGCTGTAAACTCTGCCAGAAAGTTCTGGCTGATCGTCCACTTCTGGACTGCAGTCCTGCATCAGAACCTGAGTGTTGCGTATGCATCCGTTTGACAGATCTGACTCATGTATGTGCAGACAGTTGGTTCCTTGCCTCTCAGGCAGATGCACTCCGACTTCGAAGGATGCTCCTAATTAGTCGACTTTTTCGACATGCTTTTGGGTAGGCAGTAGGTCTATTCTTGTTTTCCTTATAATAGGGCCCTGGAACCCACATAGCGAGAGATTGGAAGAGTTGGATTAAAGGTATTTATATTACAGCCTAATTGTAAACCACAATACAACTAGTCAATTGTCCTTTTAAGTGTGAACACATAGGATGAAAAAAACAAATATCTGTGCTTTTTACAAACATCCAGTTCCCCCCCCCCCCCCTAGATGATCTTGGCGTCCAGTTCTACTGTTACAAGACTCTACGGCTCTGGTACGACTGTAGTTGATGATGGTGAATGAATGACTGGTACTTATATGACCGTTTTGAGACAATATGTTCAACAGCAAACGGGAGTTCCCGACGAGGATAACGAGTGGGGACTCTAGGATTCACGAGGTATTGATGGAGCTCACGGTGAACGGCGCGAACTAGACAAAACAACGGAACGAAGTGTTTTTAGGGCTCAGAAACTTGGTCAAGACGTATTGTGTTTTGACATTTAGGTTTTTTGTACCTGATTTAAATTATTGAGTGTTAGTTTGTAATTGCGTGTCAGCTTGACGGTGTTATAATTTCAGTGTTGGTCTGTGTCATAGGGTAGTAGTCTCTTGTGTTTAGTTATAGATGTTATCATTCAAGTAATTAGCTGTGTTTTAGCAAGGTAACTGGTGACTGCGGTTTGTCTGTCAAGAAGATGAGCATGTCATCGTGGGCATGGTATCAGTGACATGGTTTGTCTGATTACAATATCTAGAGTCGTGCAGTAGAACAGTGTAAGGTGTAGAGGCGTTTGAAAGAGCTTGGTTCTGAGGCTAGTGGGTCACTACATGGTCTTTTTTTCCAATTTTTTCCAAAAATATCACTTTTTCAATGTGTTCATTTTTGTAAAGTTCGGCATTCGTAGAAGATATTAAACACAACATTGATGTCATTTGTAAACAATTTAGCATTGAAAAGTTAACACTAAAGACACCAACCCATGCACTTTTTTAAGATAAAAAAATTTTTTTAAGTCACTTTTCTAACAATTCTATTTTTCTGTTTGTTGTGTGGGGAATCTCCTAAAATCTCAGCTAATTTAAAGACTAGAGACGTGACATTTGGTGTGGATACCTATAACAGAATATTGTAGGGTCAGGAATATTTAAAAGTACAGTTTATGAAGTATTTTTAAAAATTTGATTATTGTCCTAAAAAAGCTACATTTTTGTTTTTTTTTGAAAATACCTAAATGTTAATATTCTAAAAAAAAATATTTAGAAACATCTTTCAAGTAAATAAACTAGACCTGACCCTAAACATAGGTTAAAAGTTTATGAATCAATCATTTGTTTCTCAATACCTCTGTTTGTTTTTGAAATTTTAGCTGTCTAAGTACATGTTGATTTTTCATCAAGATGGCGGCTGTTGCCATGGCAACCATGCTTTTATTTAAAACTTGAAGTGTACAAATGTATCAACATACATCCCTACAAATGAACATTTTAAAATAATTGGTCTAACATTGTAAATAAAAAAAAATAAAAATTCCTGTAGTGACCCCTTAATTACTTGAAGGTTAATGTTTGAATGGCAATTGTAAAACACACCGACAGGCTTGGGTAGGGTTTGCGAGCCACCTCTGGGGCGAACCGCCGATCGCTTGTTGTAAATTATATTAAAGGCGGGTGTGTATGCTTTGACTGTGTTTGGGTAGTTGTGTTTGAGATAGACTTCTCTGTCACTGAGCAGCAACGAGCTATTTGCCTTTAAGACGATAAGTAACTCTCTGACATCTGCTCAGGCGAAAATTGATACCATATAGAGTCCTAGAAAGCAAAAGTGGACAACGCAAACCTAACCCACC